TTGTAAAAGGGTTTTGGGCTTACAGGGGTTTGGGTTTAGGGGTTTTCTGGGGGTGTTGGGCTTATAGAGGTTAGGGTTTGGGGGTGTTTTAGGGGTTGAGGGGTTACAGGGGTTATGGTTCAGGGCGCGGCTTTGGTTTGAGCAATACCCTCAAAACTGCAGAAACCCCGACAGTCCCCCCCCGTCAAACTTATGCAACCCGCCATGCAGCCCTGTAAATGCAGATAAACCCTCATAAACCTTGAACAGCGATATCGAAACATGCAGGGATACCTGCAAACCTCAAGACGACCCCAATGAGGAGCCTCACACTAGACCCTTAAGCGCGGAAGCTCTCCCAAACATCATACCCCTTAACACCTCAACTGACACATTAAAAAGCACCCAAAATCACAAAACCGCAACTCTGAAGCCAATGCACAAACGAGACGGGACCCTTAAAATCCGCCTGAAGACCCCTTTGACCCAACAGACAGAGTCAAGCACGAACACGACGAACAACCCCCCGGACTCCCTATAGAAAAGCCCAGCATCTAGAATCCTATCGAATACGTCTTGTTTCTGAATTCTGGCCTAAAACATGGATGATGTGAAGGCTCGTATCGCGTTTACAGGGGGTCTGGCGAATCATTCATGTGATGTATGTCTTTTCTCTTGCAACATTAACGTATAACAACCGTAGTACGAGTGGTTAGAGTAATCGCGCCCCCCTTTTCTTAAACACCCCTAATAATAAAGACGCATCCTGCCCTTTAAAACCTATTCTGAANNTTCGAGGCTCCAAATACCCTGAGAGCACAGTAAGAACAAGAGCAAGAGCAAGAGCAGGAGCAAGAGCAAAGCAAAAGCAAGAGCGGGAGTAAGAGCAAGAGCAGGAGCAAAAAGCAGGGGAAACAGCAAGAGCAGGAGCAGGAGACGCAGCAGCAGAAGCATGAGCAAAAGCCAGCGCGGGAGCAAGAGCCAGAGAAGGAACAAGAGCACAACCCCTCAAAAGTGGTAAAACTATCTCCTAACAACAAAAACACTTTCCGAGTTGTTATTGGGGCGGGGGACTTTGTTTTATTAATATTAGGGATGCTTAATAATTGTTATAGTAGCAAAGTAGTCATATAGTAGGGGAGGCCAGCAGTAACAATGATATCATCAAATGGCCAGTGGCTCACAAAACGATCTTGTGGGTATCGAAAACAGGCCACATTCCACACTGGCCCTTATGACCCTTGGCTACCTTTTACGGAAGGTTTGAGGGATGCCTCACCCCTATAAGTCCCACACTAAAAATCCTGAAACTTATGGGCCCTAAACCCTATAAACCCTTACCGCAAAACATCCTAAACCCGACACCCAACATAAACCCAGAGCCCCTAGACACCTAATTAAACCCTATGATTTCCTAACCCTAAATCCCCTAAACTTTAAACCCTATAACTCAAACAAACCCTCAGCCCTATGAATCCTAAACCAGGAAAGGCCAAAACACCGGCAAGGCCGCCAGCGAAAAGGAACTGCTCACCTCAGAGCCTTCTGAGATGTCCTCAGTGACTTTGCAAAGGAAAGTTTGGGTCTCTGAGGGCTTCAGGCTGGCCTTAGGGCTTTCCACTAGGCTCCATTGCAGTTCGTTTTCGGGGTTACCTTATAGGATCCTAAATATCAACCACAAACAGGAACTACAACGGAGCTTGTGGGTAGGGTGGAGACTCAGGATTTTTGGTTTGGGGTTTAGGATTAGGGTTTGCGGGTAGGGCTGCCACGTTTGGCGGGGATGCTGGGAATCAATGAGGGCGGCCGGTTCAATTAGGGTTTTGGGGATCCGGGAGTTGTGTGCTTTCGAAAACAACTAGGATAGATATAAAGCTCCGTGTGGCTATCCCGTCAAGGCCCAACAGGGGTTTCAGAAGGTGTGTACAACAGTTCTACAGGAAGGCTGGGCGAGTCGATGGGTCTTTGGCTTTTAGGTCTAGGGACAAAAGGCTACATTATTTACGTGTTGTGCCGGGGGTGTGTTTCGTTTAAGGTTTCCTAGTTTAGGGTTTTGGGGCGTTGCAAACATGAAAGCTCCTCTGGGCTTCAGGGTTGAGGCTTTTCGAGTTTAATGTTAGGGTTGAGACGTTTGAGCCCAGAGGCATACTGGAGACTCGTTCGCTGCATTCAGGCTCTATGGAGGGCTTGGGTTGTGTTTCCAGAGCTTCGTGTCAAGTTAAGGTTGCGCAAGATGTCATCTGATTTTTGCATTCGGTCCAAAGATAGTTACCCGGAGCAGGGAATTGAATGACAACAGACCCCATCGAGGGGACTCTGGAAAACAGATTTCGCACTGCAAAACACCCCAACAAAAACACACAGAATGGGGCATGGACCGGAACCCACCTTAACCGCCAAATAACCTGCCTGTTTAAGGATTTCATTATTCGAATTAAGGAACCCTAAATAAAGGGTAGGCTTTAAAGGGTCCAGATACAGCAGGTGATTGAATGGCACCGGAGATACAGCAAAAGGCTTCAGTCCGCCTGAAACCCCTAAGAAACCTCCAAGAACGGAAGCTCCTAGGCTTTGGTGGTGTGCAAAGTTTGGGGGTCTTAGGGTTTTTGTGGAGGTTGCGGGTTTTCGAGGCGTGGGGGTAGAAGAATCTCAATCAGCATTCTTCTACGTAGGAGTGCTACAAAGTATCTATTATCTAGCGCGTGTTGCTGCTGCGATAGGGACTCTTCCCACGAGAAGTCTTGTCTGCCAGTGCGTTTGGCTAACTGCTGCTTTACATGTGGATCTAACCCGAAACCTACACCATCCTACACTTTTCCGAATATCCCTAAACCCTGAATCACTTACCCAATGCGCTGGCCCGGAACGTCCCTCCCCAGCGTGCAAGCCGGTGGCGGTCAGAACGCTGACTCCGTGCTGGTCCAGTTCGTTGGGCTCCTTTCAAGAAACGTTGAACAGATGTTTTAGAATCCTCCGGAGACCAGGGTTGGCTTAGTTCCAAGTTCCGTCATGCTGATATTCGGGCTGTGGGATGTTAGTATAGAAGCCTGGATCTTTCAAGCTTCCTTATACTACACTGTGCGCTGTATCAGGGTACCCCATTCAAATTATTGAGGGCATAGGCATTACTAAATTACGGCTTGAAGCTGGCGACTTCTTCTTGGCATGGGCCATGGGAACTGCCAAGTTGCCACAGTAGGCCTTCTCAAGGGTGGCAGGGTACAATTGGGATAAACGAACTGTGGATGGATAACTACATAGGTATGCGACGAAAACTGTACAAGCACCAAACAACTGAAGAATGAACACATAACTTGTAACCGTTTGTCTGGATTTACGCACAAGTGTGTTCGCAGAATGGCATCAGACACGGCAGCAGACAACACTACTGCCTAGGGCCTGGGACAAAGTTTATTGGCCTATTGCAACTGCCAGACTCTGATAATCACGAACAGCCCGCAGCTTTACATCGGTTTACAATTCGGGGGGCCCCAGTTTTTTTCTTTCGTGTTCATCTCTCACAAACAACGGCTTGGGTGTACCTTGCTTTCGGTTTGGGCATGTGCTGTAACAAGTAGCCCTCCTCGATGGTGATGGGACGAAGCCCAGCCGACCCTCCCCTGATGCCCCTGCAACCCGAAGCCATAAACGCCACACCCCAAGCGCTAAGTTCAGGGTTGAGGGAAGCTTAGGGTTTATAGCACTGAGGGTCTGCAAATCCCGATGCGTTTCTCCATAAATCCGAAACTCCCAGCCCTGCATGAAAGGAATAATGTAGGGGCCTTAATAATTAGAATATGGTTTCGTGGTATATCATACTAATAACAAGGAACCCCGAAATAGCATTAAGGCCTCTTTATTATACCCATCCAAACCGGATGGAACCCGCTGGCCCCGATCGCTCCGCATGGGTCAAGAAGACGCGGCCCAAAGCGCCCCCGCAGCTGCTGGCAATGTAGGAACCTCACACTTCAAACTGTTAGGGGTTAGGGGTTAGGGGTTGGGGGTTAGGGGCTAGGGGTTAGGGGTTCGGGGTTAGGG